AAATAAATACTTATAACATATAATGTAATTATAACTTAATACTTCTTTCAGGCAAAACTTGAATTTCAACCTCAAAGTCCAATACTACATCCTTTGCGAAATACAATTCCACAACATGAATCTAATGTAAGAAGTATACATACATTAAATACTATATTTATTATTCTTACAGTAATTACAATATCCTATAAATTATTCTTATAGATATTACCACAGGATAATTATTACAATGACTCTCATGTACCTTATAATCCACAGCAATATGTTCATAACATTCAAAATGTTGGTACTCAATTTAATAAACCTGTTGATATTGCACAAGCCATAGCAGTAGCTAAAGTTATTGAATCTGAGAAACCAAAACTACCAATACCTGAAGAACATGTGCATTTGAAAACGGTATTAGATGAATTAAAAATGCGATGCTTTGAGAATGCTAAAAATCCGGTAAATATTAACTAATTTAAGTACATGAACTATTATTATATTATTGTGTATTCTTTTATACTATATTTTAACATTCTATAGATTAACATATAATGCAATTATAACTTAATGTATATAAATTATATATAATTTTTCATACCTTTATTTTAGCAAATTAAGAGAAAAATAGAGGATGTATCTAAAAAATTGGAAACACTGTATGATTGTCTCAGAGAAAATAGAGTATGTAAATTATCATACTTTTTCATATATGTAAACTTTTATATAAATAATTGTTTTACATTTACAATTTCCTAAATTATTTTTTAGTTATCACAAAACACTCTTCAAGGATTACATCAAATATCAGAGATGGTACAAAACGGAAATTACGCTGGAGGTCTAAGTTTACATACGCAATTAGTATCTGGACCAGATTTTAGTCAGATATCTTCTTTTATGCCTGGTATCAAAGTATTACTTCAAAGTGCCCTTCAGTTAGGAGTTTACATTAGATAGAATATGATATACTAAGATGTACGATTGATGTGTCTCTTCATTACAAATGTTTACATTTTGTCATCTTTTGTGAAAAAAACATATTCTATTCTGCATTGAAAACAAGTATATATCTATGCAATTTCTTTATTACATCATTTACAATTCACAACATGAACATAATTTATAGAGTTTATATTCTTCATTCTTCTATCTATCTAATAATATCTTAAATTTCAATATTATCTTGTAACCTTTTTTTAATTGTAATATATTGATGAGAAGTCGAAAGACCATGAAAAAGGTATACTAATATTTTGTAATTATTCTTACGTAAATTATTTACATAATAATTGGTTTTTACTGGAAAGAAATGTATATAAGCATTATTAAAGTTGGTTTTGAATAATGAAGGTAAAAAATTTATTTTTATATAAAAGATATTCTTCTTGCGTCTTTATATTTCAAATTAAAAGAAATGAGAAGAATGATCCCTGTAATACTAATATTTACATTTATGTTAATTATTTTGGATTTGTTACATAAAATAAAATCATGTAAAGAAATTATAACTTTCTGTATACAAATGAAAGTATTTAAAATATAAATATGATTTACTCGTTTATACACATATATGGACTTTTATTTGAGTTGTATTTTGTAATAATTTTGTTATATAATTGACAGAAAATGTGAAAAGCCAAAAAATTAAATAATACATTATATATATGAAAATATATAAATCTGTACATGATTTATAGTCCCAATAAAATAATTTATAAAAATCTAACATTCATTTATTTACAGATACTTATGATAAAAAAACTGTAGATGTATATGTTACTTATTTCAAAAATGAATTAAATGAAAGAATAATTTACTGTATAATTAAGCTATGTAAAATTACGCTTTTTTCATTGACAATAAATTTTTGCAATAATTCATCTAGTGGATCAACACCATCTCGCGCTGCCTGACGTCGCATAGCTTGTTTTACTTCTTCACGGACTCCCTTATCAGCACCACGTGTTGTAATACGTCGGCCTATAAAATATCATTATTTTGTTTAACAGTACAACATTGCTTTAATAATATATACATACTTTGTAATACTCCTGAGCCAGTAGCAATATCTAAAGACACACCACCACCATGTTCTGTCCACAGATACGTCAATTCCTCTAAAATATCTACGCATATAATGTATGATTGAAATAATGGATATACAAAAGATCCACGATTAATAATCCTTTCAGTAATTATAGATAATGTGCTAGCTTCTTGCGGCCAATCAATCTGCATTAAAACTAATGCATGTCCAATAGCCAAATCTCCTACAGTTCCAGGTATAGAAAAATTTTCCTAAAATATATGAATTATAAATATTTAAGAGACAAATCAAATTACAATCGTTAAGTTCAAAATCATAGCGTAATAATCGTATTATATATTAATTTTTTCTAGTAATTATAAACGATTTTAATAAATCATATAGTATTTATTGCCTTTATTGCTAAAAGAAGTAGTCTGCAACAATACTGTAAAACAGGATAACGTGCAAGGGACAAGTAATGCAAATGTCGTGTGGATGGAACGGTTAAGTTATGAGATACTTTCCCACATATTGAAGGTAAAGAGCTTGCTACTAAAACAATATATTCCAGCATACCCTATAAAAAAAATTTTAATTAAATGTTTATACTATTTATATGATATTCTATCTAATTGATTTATATTTTAGATAAACTGATATGTATTTAACATTTGAATAGTACATAACATAACATACCTTATAATCTTTTAAAAAAAAACAAGTACTAGCAAACCGTAGATGAGTAGACAAAGAGGAACCTTCTTGAGATAGTCTAGTTAACACTTCATGATGTAAACCTTTATACATAGCTAAGTCTGTTGAAAATGGATTTAACCATGCATCCAATCGTGCCTGTTGATTAAGTTTATCTATCTCTCTTTGTAAATAATCACTACTGTGCAATAAATCCCACAATTTGACAGCAAAACCAAGACCATTACCACTGTAGTCTCCATCACTAGTTACAACAATCCCTGAATTATCTTCCCTTTTCCGTTTTTTTAATTTTGGCTCTGAATATAAAAAATAAAATATTACTTTTCTGTAATATTTTTTACTACAATTCTACTCTCTATAAACTTAATATATTATACCAGTAAGAGAAGAAATTAATTCTCCGAAAGCTTCTACTAAGCAATACATAGTTTCCCCATTATTAATAAGCATTGCATGTTCATTTAATATTCTTAATAATACTACAATTGTACACATTAGTAATTGGCGTACAATAACTTCTTCACATAAATTAGCTGCATGCACAACTGCATACTGTTGTAGTTTCTCGCTATATGTTTCCCGATTCCAAGGTATGGAGAATAAATTGCTTAGTTCCCATCCTAATTTTTTTCCAATTAACTCCACTACATGAAAAAGTCTGTCCCATGGATACTGAATTTGTATATCTTGTGGTTGTTGTATATATGCTAAATAAAATTCCACAGCTTTACAAAGCAATCTTAATCCAAGACGAGGGTTAAGTTCAACAGGGGCAGCTCCAAGAAGTGGTAATGCATCACAAGCTAATAACCGTCTAAAACCATTTACAGCACGTCCTGGATGACTATGTTTTTCTGCAGTGAGTAGAGTTTCTACTAAACGTGGCTAAAAATTTTTAATTATATTTTAAATAAATGATTATATCTTTACATATACATAAACAAGCATCTCAAATTACTAACTCCATGTGTTGGTGTAGTTTGAGGAAATTTACGTATTAAAAGGAGTAACAATTTACAATGCTCCATTGTATCTTCACTATGATCAGCCGTCATAACTAATAAACGATGTTGTAAATCTTGAGGAATATGTTGAAACATTTGACATAAAAATTCCGTCTCTGGATCACATTGTTCAGAACGTAAACATGTAGTTACCATTTCTATTTCTTTCCAAATATCTCGATCATCTGGAAAATTCTGAAATCTGCTCTTACGCATAAAAGATATAAGTAATTTTGTTTATAAAAAAATTTTATAAAGTTAAGTATCATATTTACATTTCACTAAAACATTTTGCAGCTTCCTTGACATTTTTTGATAGCTTCTCAATCTGGTATGCTTCAAACTTAAAAAATAATAATCTTTATGTATTATATATTAGTAGTTTATGACTTTCATGATTTTAATAATTTTTATATTCAAATAAATTTTTAAATATAAAAAATAATATTTTCCAATAATATTGTTAAATACCTGAACTTTCGCGCTATGAGGAAATAAAGACTTAGCGGTAATCAACCACGACTTTGCTGCATAAATATCACTTGATAATGCTTCTTTAGCACGCATTATTAAGTAATCCTCTTTCGATAATTGATTTTCTCCTCCGGAAGATTTTTCCAACATCGTGAAGCAAGGTGTCCCGTTTTCTTAAAAGTAAATTTATATATTTATAATATTAAATCTCTAATAACATCATACCATACAAGTACATAAAATACAAAAATAAAAAAATTAAAGGTTATGTTTTCATTACTCGCACGTAAATAAGTTTCAAAATGATTAAAATGTCTTTAGAAAGCCTAATCTATTCGCTAATATCAGGAACATCTCATTGCATTTACATGACGCTAGACAAAAAAGCTTCAAATTATATGCAATTGTCTTCTACGTGAATTGTACAACGCGTCGCTTTAATTTCTTTATCCAACACTAGATGGCGTTTCATTGAGCTTGTAATATCTTCATTGGCATGTATGATGTATCTCTTATATGTTGAATTCCATATATATATTAACTTCTATTTCTATCGTATTTGTTAATTTATTTTCTGCTATATACTAATAACAAATATTACAAATATGTCATTATTTTCGCAGCATTCTTATCAAAGAAGATTATTACATTCTTCTTACATTTGAAAAATCAATATTATTAAAAATCTATATCATTTAAAATAAAAAATTTATTATAATAACAGTGAAAACAGAATAATTATTAATACATTAAGATTTTATCAGTACTTATAACGAATCTATACATAACTATTGATAATATAACTCTAAATTCATGCCATCATGTATTTCATCTGAAGCCTTTAATTAAGGAAAACATTGATAAAAAAAAAATTATTAATAACGAGAACATATATATGCGATTTCAAATATTCAAGGATACAGTCCTGCAGTTTAATATGGTCTTTGAAGATAGTGTACCATTTTTTTAATACAATTTTTTCCCAATGTGTTCCAGTTTGAGCTGCTATTAGTTTCTTCAAATCACCGATAGTATCATCTGGATTACATTTCACTCTAACCTTTTTTCCTAATCGATCATTGCAAGTTATTTCTAACATTTTTTATGATATTGGTTTTAATTTTTCCTCAAGTCTACAAAATTGAATTATTCATTCAACAAAGTTACTTAAAAATCCATTTTATACCTATTAGTCAATTATTATATACCTTATTATATATTTTTATTCATATTTAAGCTTATTCTTGTTTACATAAATAAAATAATAAATTAGTACAATTAACATTGGCACAATTAACATTATGGAATTATCATAAAACACATAATATTATTATACTTACAAAATTAATCGTATGTATTTTATGCACACTAATATATATCTATATATGTACATATATATATATATATATATATATATATATATATATGCTTAAAGCTGCATCATAAGAAAATCTTAATAAATAAAATATTCAATCCAAATCAATAAAAAAATATTTCGTTTTGACGATTTAAAGTCAAATGATTCTACTTAACCTCAACAATTTTTGTATCACTACGTTAATCAGAAGATGGACGTAAAATACACTCGTATGTAAATATATGATCGTTATAAGCACATTAAACATAATAATATATTTTTCTGTATTATTTGTGTTGTATGGTAAGGAATACTATATATATATGCATATACTTGTCCATATAAAAAATATTAATCTGATATTAAAGCGTCACTTACCCTTTAACGCGGTATATTAGAAACCTTTAATACGTAACGAAAGTTATCGGTTGAATCTATAACTATATTGTATTGGTAGCTATCTCTTTAACTATATTTTTAGTAAGTTAAAATTTATAGTGATATTTTTCAATATGTAGATAATAAACTATCTAATTTTTTTAAATTTATGTAGGATTCTGATCATACGTACATTTTTCGACCACGTACGCCGGAAATGACGTTAACTCAATCTCCACATCATTGAGAAGAGTCCGAATATCGTGTACCGTCGTCTGTAGTCGTGTAAAAGCACGGCGATCGGCGTGCTTGTTTCACCCTATCTCATTCTTTTCTTCTTCCTCTTTCTGTTTTCTCTATTTCTGTCTTTCTCTTTCTCTCTTCCCTTCGTGTCTTGGTGCGCACACGTGTATATGTGTGTATGAACACTTTTTTACTTTTTGAATAAAACACAATGGTGATCTCGCAAGAGGTTCTTTCAAAAGCTGAAGAAATAGCAGATCAGGTAAAACTATCAATATTATTATTCTTGATTTTTTTTTAATTAATTAGATATAAATGGAAATTTATATTAGATTCGGAGAAAACCATATGAGTACCTAAAGGAATATAAGTATCTGCTGTCAACGTCATCGTATCCAGCATAACATGTTTGCTCACATATTTCTATATATATTTTGATATATACATTTTATTGTTGATTAAAAGTGCCATCAAACATTTCTTTCAAGTGCAAAATATAATCAAGTCATTTATAAGTTATAATATTTAAAGGTTATGAGTACATTCAAAGTTGTATGTCTATAGTTTTGTCATACATTTATTCATATTTTTTTCTATATCTTACATTTATTTAATAATTCGTGAATCTAAATTTTATGTAAACAGTATTTTTAAATATATGTCTTAACAATGATTTAAGTTAAATTATGTTGGACTTCATAATATCATTTGCATAATGTGATTTTACAAAAACAAGATTATGCGTATCATCATATATTATATTGCATTTAATTTGTTTTATCAGATTCAGTTATAAAATTTATTTTGTTCTCTTTATTTACTATAAATGTATGTTATTTTATTTCATCTTATATAGATAGAGAATGAATATTTTTATAAATGTATAAATAATTATTTTTGATTAATATTTTAAGTATATTTTTGTAATTATATTTCTATAATAAAAAGATAATGTTACATCAATTTATAATTTTTAGAACAAAAATATATTGAAAGTTATTGTGCCATTAAAATTTACTTTAAATTTCTTATTGCTTATCTTCTTCAAATGAAAAGATAATTTTATTACTTTGTTTTTTGTTATAACAGGTTATACGTAGTGGGAAACATATATTACCAACCTTAGCAAGATTGTGTCTTATATCCACATTTTTAGAAGATGGTCTTCGAATGTGGTTTCAATGGAACGAGCAAAAAGAATATATGGATATGTCTTGGGGTTGTGGAAAATATTTCGCTCATATTTTCGTTCTTGTTAATTTAATTGGGCAGCTTGGAGGATGTGTTATGGTTATTGGAAGATGGCAAGTCAACATAGCTTGTGGAGTTCTATTTTTCATATTGGTTTTACAGACATTTGCCTATAGTATTTTATTTGATATGCAATTCCTGTTCAGGAATTTAGCACTTATAGGTGCATTACTCCTTGTTTTGGCTGAATCTAGAGTAGAAGGAAGATCATTGTTTGCCGGTGTTCCATCACTTGGCGATAATAAGCCTAAAAATTTACTGCAACTTGCTGGAAGAATACTTTTAGCATTCATGTTTATAACTTTGTTTCGCTTTGAAGTGTCATTCCTTCAAATTTTACAAGATATTCTGGGAAGCATTTTAATGTTATTGGTGACTATTGGATATAAAACTAAACTTAGTGCTTTGCTTTTGGTACTTGTACTTTCTGCATTGAACATTTATCACAATGCATGGTGGACTATTCCAGACCATAAACCCTTACGAGACTTCCTTAAATATGATTTTTTCCAGGTAAAGCATTACATTATTATATATGTATTTATTTTTAAAATATCTATATTTCCATTTGCAATAACAAATACATTTAATTACAGACATTATCAGTAATTGGTGGCCTTTTAATGCTGGTATCTTTGGGTCCTGGAGGAGTATCAATGGATGAGCACAAGAAAGAGTGGTAGATGTTTAATAAACCATCAGTACACCATTACATTATCACACATGTAAAGCCAAACTTTCTCCCATCCCTATTTCATCATACGTTCAATCGGTCTTTAGATGGGGTTATCGCATGCTGAATGAACAGCTCTAAACAAATTTAATATGAACTACTCAGTTTAAATAACAAAATATTGTCAGAACATATTTCAAAATTGACTATGTATATCACATATGAATAAATATATATATACACAAATATATGTATATATGTATATATATATATGTATATATATACATATATATATATTTGATATATATATATGAATGAATGCAGAGTGGGTTTTGAAAGATAATATGTCCATAAAGCAGAGTTTGAAAATTAAAACTACAAAGTGGCAAAAGACTAATTTATATAAAAATAATAGCATTGTATATATGACACTGCGTTTATTATGAAAAATATATTTTTTCTGTGTGTTTTTAATCTTTTTTCTCTCAGTCTCAAAACTATGGCACATACAAGTGTATGACTATAATATCAATATATTCTTCCATGAAATTGCAAAGCAATATATTACTTTTAAGTCTGTAATTAATCTTATTGTTACCCAATTTTTTGAGTATTTGCTACAAAGTTTTAAGTTATTGTAAATAAAGTATTCAATTGTATATTTTTCTTACTAACTTTTATTTTTCATATAATTACGGATATGTATTTACAAATGTAATTGAAGAATCAGGTTAACAGACATTATTATTGCTAATAATACATTAGCTAAAATAAATCAATCTTAAAATAACTCAAGTTTAAATTTATCTGTCTAAAGGGGTGAAAGTCTAAAGTTGCAGACATTAGAAGTTTTGCTCACTGAAAGCTCTTTGTGTAACTTCACGCTTCGAAACTATAATCTTTTAATTGAAAATGAGAATCAAAAATATGTTTAATCAAGATTTTGTAAGCGTGGGAACAACAATTTTAACTTCAAAACCGTTTGCATATGTTTTAAGAAGTTTATTACGAAATGAAAGATGTGATTACTGTTTACAAAGGTAAGATTAGAGAGTTGAGTTTAAAATTTATTTATATCACGTTTTATGTACTACGTTTACCATTTCATAAATATTTATAATATATTGTTGAAAGTTAAACTTGATTTAAAAATTTATATTACTTCGCATTATTATAAATATGACATCACATTACATATGTGATAACGCCAAAATAGTCTTTTGCAAAAAATATTTATACTTCGGTGATTTAAAAGTATGAGGTTATAACAAATTCCGGTGTTTGAGTTTGTCTGTTGTGAATCAAAAAACGTAATTAAGAAATTAACGTTAGAAATGCAACGATTGTAGTTATTTTATAAATTAGATTTGCTTATTTTTGATACAATGAAAGAAAATGTAGATATTTTAAAAAAGGGTACAGCAATTATTACTGCCAAACCTTTTTCTTTTGTTTTAAGTTCGAAGCAAAAAACTATTCGATGCGATAATTGTCTTAAAAGGTATAAAATGTTTAAAAAGAGATTAGGCTTTAATAATTTTGCAAATATTGTAATAAATTGTTCATAAAATAAATAAAATATCATATCGAGGTTATGATGTAATTTAAAAAATTTGAATTATTATTTATTTTAGTGGAAAACTTTTTAAGTGTTCTGTTTGTCAATACGTATATTATTGCAATCGTATTTGCCAAAAAGAAGCTTGGTCAGTACATAAGATAGAATGTCCAAATTTGAAAAGGATATCACCAAAAATTATACCCGATGCTGCAAGACTCATGGCTCGTATAATTATAAAACTTCATCAAGGTGGAGGAGAAGAAATGGGATATTATTCAGAGACAAATTATAGAAAATTTAAAGATCTTATGTCTCGTAAGTACTCTTTAATTAAGCAAAGAACATTTTATTATATAGAATAGTTAATAAATCATGTTTTATTTCTTATACAGATTATTCTGACATTAAAAAAGATGTAAAACGAATGGAACATTTTACTTCATTGTGTGGAGTCTTATTCGAATTTCTTGGAAATATACCTATACCAAATTCTGCAGAGTTAATGGGTATTTATGGTAGAATATGTATTAATTCCTTTAATATATTAGACCCAGATATGAATAGTATTGGAGTTGGTATTTATCTGGCACCGTCCGTAATTGATCACAGTTGCAAACCTAACGCTGTAGCTGTATTCGAAGGAACTACAATTATTATACGAACACTTGAAGATCTTCCATGTTTGAATTGGTCACAGGTATACTAACAACTTTTAACTTGATTAACGTAATAAATATAAGAATTACATTTACAATATCGAATTAGCTGCCTATTGTTATTAAATGTTAATAATTATATACCATATACTCTAATGCATAGATTTTTATACACAGATAAAAATATCATATATCGACCTACTCAATTCAACTAAAGATAGATGTGAAGAATTACAGAATTTATACTATTTTCTGTGTGATTGTCAAAGATGCATGCAACCAGAGCCAATGGCAACAGCTGCTGCTTGTCCAAAAACGTCTTGTACATATCCAAATTCTTTTGATGCTATTATATGTAAAAAATGTAATGCAAAATTTCCATCAAATTTTAAAGCGATATTTGACGAAGTTAAGGAGTTCACTGCCCATCATTTACAAGATATGAAAAATATGGCTTGTATCCTTCAAATTATAATGTACAAAAATTTATTCCATTTATTATAAATTATAATTCCTTATCTAATAATAGATCTTGATGTGAGTAAAATATGCTTAAAAAAGCAAGAAGGTGTTCTACATACATTCAATATCCAATATATACGTACTTTAGAAGCAGCATTCGATGCATCTGTAAATTTAAATTCATGGGAAGAAGCAGAACATTATGGAAAAAAACTTATACCAGGATATTTGTCAGTATCTTATCTTTAAGTGAATATTTTTAACTTATTTTCACATTGATATAAAATTATTTTTTAATAGGTTATATTATGGAGAGATACACCCTTTAACTGGATTATTATATCTTATGACAGGAAAAATTCAATTATATCTGAATAAAGCAAAGCAAGCTTATGATACGTTAAGGAAAGCGCATTCTGTATTAACAATAACGCATGGAGAAAGACATTCTTTATTGTCTGAAAATTTGAAACCTCTCTTATATCAAGCTATGAATGCTGTTAAAGACTTGTAGTTTTGATGGTTATTTATTTAGTAAAATATATAGTAGTAATAATTTGTAATTTTTTTTAGACAATAAATTACTTTATTACATTACTATAGCTCATTTGAAACAACTGAACTAGTTTTTAACCTAGTTAAAAGTTAGTCGATTGTAAACTGTGAAGTTTATAATTATAGGACAATTTTAGAATATAGTTTCAAACTTTTTCTTCCATTTTATTTATGGAATAATTCATGATTTTGATAGAAAGAAATAATTAGTTTCTACATATCTTTTTACTCATATTACCTTTTATTATTCGTATTTTGAATTTTATTTTATATTAAGAACTATACAATTTCTGAATTCTGTGATTGGTTAATATTGATCGCTGAATACGAACTAACTTTTAGGTTATTCTCAATTATTCTACCGAAAGAAAATGATTGTTACACGATTTAACAATCTATGATCTTTATGGTTTATGGTAGGAAAGAGAAACAGTTTCCATATGATAGCTTGACAGCTGCTTGGAAAGGAATTTATATATATTTTATTATTTATTTTGTTCAATTTATAATATGTGGTGAGTTTGTAAATAAGATTTGTAGTAATAAAATGTGTGAAAAAATATTGTTTTATTAGTATTATATATAACTTGTGGAAAATAATAATTAAAAACATTGTAAAATATTTTCTTATATGTAACTTAATATTATTTGGATTAAGAGATATGAAATATAATTTAATATTAAATTTAACATATCTTATGTAATTAGTATATCTAAATAATATTTGTTTGCAGATATTTATTATACAATTGATCAATTTACAAGGCCATACTTTTTGATGAATACATAATCAAAAAGAAGAAAATGTTTTCTGCCTTTAAAAGATTAGCTGGAAAGTCTGATGGAGTTAGTAATGCATCAGCTAGACCAGCACATCAATCCATGCCAACAACTTTACAAAGAAAATTTGCTAAAGGAGTACAATATAATAGTAAAATTATAAATTTATTTTTTTTCTAAATTATTATCATTTGAAATAACAATGTATCTGTTGTTTTTAGTGAAGATCATCATAAAAGGAGATAGAAATGTAGGAAAGACATGTTTATTTCATAGACTTCAAGGTCAAAAATTTGTTGAAGAATATATACCCACTGAAGAAATACAAGTGGCTAGTATTCAGTGGAATTATAAAGCTACAGATGATATAGTAAAAGTTGAAGTGTGGGATGTTGTGGATCGTGGAAGACGAAGAAGAAAATTGGAAGGTTTAAAAATGGATAATTCTACTACTGAAAGCATTATTGAAGAACCTGCTTTAGATGCAGAATTCCTTGATGTTTATAAAGGGACCAATGGTGTTATTATTATGATGGATATAACCAAAACTTGGACATTTGATTATGTTCAACGTGAACTTCCAAAAATTCCTAGCCATATACCTGTTATAGTTTTAGGCAATCATTGTGATATGTCTCATCATAGAACAGTTACAATAGATCATATAACATATTTTATTGATTCATTGCACAGACCATCTGCACAAGTAAATAATTTATTTTTATACATTTTGGTAGTATATATTTATTAACATTAAATGATAAATTAATACTTGATTTTTTATTCTTTGTAGATAAGATATGCAGAATCATCAATGAGAAATGGTTTTGGATTAAAACTTTTGCACAAGTTTTTTAATCTTCCTTTTCTTCAATTACAAAGAGAAACTTTATTAAAACAGCTTGAAACTAATGAAGAAGAAACTCATTTGACGGTACAAGAACTTGATCTTTTCCAAGATAGTGATGACGCAGATTATAATAAATTTTTAGACAATCTTGTGAACAGAAGAAGAGCTCTCGCTGATTCAGTGTCTGCTAGTATTCTAGTGCCCAATGTTACTTCGTCTCTGACTAGTCATCGTGTCACACCTTCCAATGGTATTATATCTTCGAATACTGAAGTACGGCGGTCAGTATCAATGCCTGGCCCAATTGGTGGTGGGATTCCTATACCTGTAAAAAATTTAGAAATAAAATCGCCACCAAAAAAGGAAAATTTAGTAAATAATACTTCAGAGAGTTCTATTATATCAATGAAAAATACACAATCCATATCAAGTTTACCTAATGCACAAAATATTTCTAAACCAGACACTTCTAAAGTAAATGAATCTGCACATGATAATTTAGAATGGAAAGATTGTACAGGAAAATCACAATCTTTAATGTCTAAAATCTTTGGAAATAAAAAAGAAAGTGAAACAGAGAGGCTGTCTAACATTAACACTCTTAATTTGAACAAGCCATTAACCAGTGTTGAAGACTTTGTACCAGATGATGGACCTTTAGACAGATCTTTTTTAGAAGATAATAATCAGACGTCTCTTCAAAAAATACAACATGAAGAATTAGATTCAGAAAGGTAAATATTTTCTTCTATTATATACAGTATAATCATAAATGCATGTCATTATGCATTACTCTTCACATGGTAAATTTACACAATAATATTAGTAAAAAGTCATAAATAATATATCCTATACATCTTAGTTTTCGAGTTATGGATGATTAAAGAAAATATTTAAATAAGAAAATTTTTAATAAGTGCCTGCCTCATACTTCAATGCGCTATTGCACGCCGTAGCATTGAGATCGGCACTCGTTTAAAAATAACAAGTATTCTTCGATGTCTTATTCAAAACACAAAGTATTCTTCAATAGTTTTAAATCAATTTGGTATCCTTTCTTGCAGATTGTGCACACTATTAATTTGCATTGAATACACAATAGTTTTTAAATGGGCTTAAATGTAAAAGTTTAATAAGTTGAGATCAGAAAATCGTAGATTCACGTCGTTCTATCGAACGAAATGAGGTGGAGGACCATTGTGCATAAACCACGAGTTTAGTCTAATATTCAGGAGTATATCATGCAGTAATTTCTGAAAGTCATTTCATAAAAAGTTAAAATCTCATTTACTCGAAACGAAAGACTGTCCTAAAAGACTGTCCACAACAATTTTTTGCAAATCACGCATTAGTGGGCACTTCAAACATTTTCAGTAATCATCCACTACTCGAAAACTAAAGTATATAAGTGTATATGTAATGTTTTTTACTTATATTGATGTGTAGATTTGCCTTTTAAAGTATTAACATGCATTTATGAATCACTTTATATATACATGGTAAATTTGTTCAATTCAGATATCTAAGTATCTCCAAAAACAACATATTTTCGAAAAGAAAGTTTAAACCGAAAGTTATTTGCTTTTGGATGAATATAATAGCATTATTTATTTTTGATTCGATAAACGTTTTCAGTTATTTCAAGATAAACTTTATTTTTTCTATAAATTTTGTAATCTTATATACAAAAAAAAAAAAACAAAACTTTTGTCTTAAACATTTTTTTATCCAGGCTCTATTTTTACGATACTTAACATTGTTTAGACAAAAAACCTAGAGCAGATAGAAATATAGAACAGGTATTCTTTTCTAGAAAAATATTATTCTAATAAGTATTCAATATGATTTAACATTGAATACTTATTAGATAGCCCTCATTTTCGATATACTTCTCAATATGCTTAATAAAAGATTGATTAATACATAATAGAATATCTTTGTCAATACTTCTATAGCATTTCTGATCTGTTCTTTCATATCGTCTGTTGTAGTTAGTATGTCTTTTCTTTAAGTTAATTCTATAAAAAAGTATTTAGAATATATATTTAAACATCGCAATTGCGCAATCCAATTTACTATAGTACTGTATCTTATCTAGAAACTATTGTAATTCCAATTTAGTATTACTGTTACAATAAATAAATTATGCGTTGAACAACCATCATGCTGATAACATATCATGCATGATACATATTGACAGTAATTTTTTATTAAGCAGATTGGATATTTATCAGAATAATATTTTTCTAAAAAAGAACGCTTGTTCTATATTTCTATCTACCATAATTTTTTTTCTAATTAATGTTAAATGTTCTAGAAAGTAAAGGCTAGATAAAAAATATTTCAGATAAAAGTTGTTTGTTTTAATACATAAAGTAACACACCATTACAAAAATTATAGGTTTCCATTCAAGAAAACAAAAAATTTACCTTAAAGTAACTTTAAAAACATTTACTGAATTAGAAATAAGTAGTGCTGTTATATTTGTCCTCAAAAACCAAACAACTCTTATTTGGAACTTTCTTTTTAGAAATACGTTTTCGAGATATTTTAAAAATTTTTAAAATTCACCCTGTATATTCATTTATCTTAATATGTACATTTATTATTTTTTTATATTTTCGATAGTGATGTAGAAACTGCAAATCCTTTGGTGGCAGAATATGAAGATGATTTATCATCAGCTGACGAAGTGGCATCTCCTATACAACCAAAATTAGCAGAAAATCCATTAAATAAGCAAAAACTGAAACGGGAATCAATATTAAATAATACAGAACTGAATTCTGAAACACAAAGACAAATTAATAAACGTGATTCAATCTCATCTATAGAACAAGAAATTCACATTTCAAATAACATTAAAATTAATGAACAGCCTGATGTATATCCTGATGCATTTGATAGTTGGTTGCAATGTGATTCTAAATGGCGACAAAGTCCAGAAGGTGGTGAAGATGTAATTTGTAATAGTACAAGGAGAGATAAATTGGAATTAAGTGATAAAAGTTTAGATGTTAGTGTTACAAGTTCTAATGTTCATTTAGAATTACTTGACAATATTAGCATGCAACATATAAGTTCTAATGGTAGTAGTCCTATAATGAAAGAAAAGAAGAAACATAAGGAAAAGGTAAATTATTATAGAAGTTATTTGGCTTTTATAATTTAATTAATATATCTTTATTATTTATATTATAGGTAGATGAAAAAGAGAAAAGAAGAAAAAAGAAATCTAAAGATAAGGAAAGAGATAAAGAGAAGATAGATAAAAGTGAAAAAAAGAAAAAGCGTTCTCTTCATAGATCAAGAGATGAAAATAGACGACGTGATGAATTGGAAGAATTTTTAAATGGTCCCCCAATGAGAATTGGAGTTGATATTGCTTATGAAGCGATATAGTATTAATAATAAATAAATAAATAAATAAATAAATATATATATATATATATATATTTTCTTTGTATCTATAATAATCTATCATGTTTTTGTGCATGAATACACATCAATTTGATGTAAAATACGGTACATCAATTGGCAAAAAAGGCAGTCTTTAAACATCAATAAATTTTAAAATAATAATTAAATTTATGTAAATTGTATTAAAAAATATATAAAAAATCACTGTTAAGATTGTAAATAGTACAGATTCAGTCATTAATAACTAATTGCTATTAAAGTTCAAGATTAATTCATACAAAAAATTTTTTTTGTACTTTTCTTTTTAATAATTGAATTTTAATACATTAAGATAAATATTAAATAAGTAAATGTAATAAATTGATTATATGTTAATATTATATTCCTTTATCAAGCAAAAGTGTTAAGATTGTCTTATTAACTTATATTTTAAATTGTTATTATTTAGTACTTTTTATATTAAATAATTTTTATAATTGTCATTCAATTAATATTGTGAATATAAAAGTATCTGTGATTTTTGCGTGGCAAAATTATTTGTTTTATTTGTGAGTTTGAAATATACAATAAAATATTTTACTATTTGACAATAAATTTGTTGCTGTACGATTTTACTTATATTTATACATGATGAAACGTATATGTATATCTATACTTATAAAAACAAAATAATTCTGCATGTTATGACTTCTTATATTAATAAATGTAACATAATTTAAAGATAAATGAATCTATATAATTCAAACATTACATATGTGTATATATATATTTCCTATCTTATATTTTAGATATATCTTTTCATTTGTAATAAAACAGGTATCGTTTTTTATACAAATCAGTTTGATCTGAAGTCTGAACTTTCTTAGGTAATGTAAAAAGATTGTTAACCCTGTGTCTCTGCTGTTACCAGTTCATACTTGAATAGCATGACGAGTCATGGAGGCACTTGTGTTCCGTGCTTGTTAAAAGAACATTTTCGCAATTTACGATTGAATTGTGTATAAAAAACAGTAAAATAAATTTGTAAAGATGTCTCTTTGCTTTCGTACTATTTCAAATAAATTTACATCGTTTGTAAATACGAGAAAACAAGTAACGAAAATCGACCGTCAATTGCCAAAGAACGTGAAATCGTCTTCATTTTTGGATGAGGTATGTTAATTTATAATAAAACAATTATGTGTTTCTCATTCTTATTAATGCAATTACATTTTAAAAGTACTTAACCAGATTATGATATTTTTAATTTGCATTAACAATATGTAATAACAATAAAAATAAATGCCGACTTTTTATAACCTTACAAAACTTATATAACTAACATGAATATAATCAACATTAACGTGTTATTGTTAGTATAACAATTTCTTTGAAAGCTTTTATTTCTCTACATTAAAGTATGAAAGAATAATATTTTAATTTAGATCATTATTCACAATTATATACATAAAGTGATAATAGATTTGGTTGTCGCTATAATATAAATAATATTATGAATTGTAGTTTTTAGGACTACAGACTTCAGTGGATATAAAAACAAACTTAACAGATAGGAATTTAGACGTTTTCACAGATGTCTATTCGTTCCATCAGAATCTGCTACCCATTCTAGTTAAATCTCATCAGGAATGGGAAAAAGCATTGGTCAAAAGTTATATAAAAAATGAAAATGGAATTTTGCGTATAGAACAGAGTTTGATGGATTACAGCAGGTTCTCAAATACAGAACCAATGTTAATCAATCTGTTATTATATGACATTACCACAGATTGTAAAGGAACGAAAGATAAATCTCTAATAAGAGCTACATCTTATATTGCAAATAATGATATTGACATTTTCATAAATAATAATAGATTTTTCTCTAATAAACAAATATTTGGTGCTATTGTGGATAATAATTTGGAGCAAAGTACTATTTTACTCACAAATGGTGAAAATATTAAAGCACAAGAAGCTAGTAATAAACAAGCAATTAAAGGCAATGAGGGTAGACCATCGAAAGAACAATTAGAATATATATTCACTTGTCTCAGCAATGATGTATGTTTGTACTATCTATTAAAATTTTTTAGAACTATTTAACAACTGCTAAACCAAATTATAAATAAGTACTTATATTTCCAGTTACCAAAATTTTTTATTAAATCATTGGATTATACTATATATTCGACAGATATAATATTTATTAATAATATTAAGGGACTAACAACAAAGTAAGTATATTATGCATGTAAAATTTTTGTATTTTTAAGTTATGTAAGATTAAAATTTTTAGGGGTATGTTTAATTACGTCAAACAAATAGCTTTGGTAAAAACAATCGGCCATTTAAAATTTGCATATATAAAATTAAATGTATTAAAAATTACTATTGATCCGGAAGATGATACAATAAAAGTACGTTGGCGAATAAGTGGTATTACAGGGCTAAAAGCACTTTTTACATTATGGAGATTTAAATTGTGGAAAATGAAGGAAGCTCTAAATGATGCAGAAGTGTACGTATCTGTTAATGATACTTAATTTACAGAAATATTATATTACAAAAATATTAATTTACAGAAATTAAAGAGAATATTTGAATAACTTATTGTAATTTATAGATGGTATGATGGATTTTCTACATATTATGTGGATGTTAATGGCAAAGTATATAAGCATGTAATTGACAAATTAATGCCTGATCAAAATCAACTTTTTGAGAAAGAAAAACCACAAGTTGCTACAAAACTTGCATTGTTCATAGGGGTTCAGGATTTGTGAATACTAAATAGCAATGAATTTATTTCAAAATTAAAACATATTATGCTTAATGTAAAATGAAGAGGAAACCAAAAGATCATATAAGTAGCGAAATAAACACGATTTATGTACATTAACACAATCTTATCAACATTTGTTGATATTTCAATTTTCCATAGCATATCCTTGAAATGATGAAATAGATTACATGGATTTTAAAATCTTGTGTAATTCTATATGTGTAAACACGTTTTAATTTAAAAAAATTGTATAATCAATTCAATGCCTGTAAATCAATATATATATACTTTTATTTACGATAAGTTATTATTTACAATGAATTTATTAGATAAAAGCATAAATGAAATCTTGCAATACTATCTAAATTTTTGGATGTCCATTTATAAAAAACTAAAATTTATGTACATACAATTTATGTAATAAATTGAAGTACAAATTAATTTGCAATAGATATTGTGACAAATATAATATATTATTATAGTATTTAATATTACTTATTTTGCACATCATGGTGTACATGATTTACAGTAGCGATTGCCAAAGTGTGTTTCGTAGAACGTCCACCAACTAATTTAGGTGTTTGGAATGACAGTTTGATCGAATTATAGAACGGCTAACTTTCATATTATTCATGTTAGATTGTTATAGAGGGTTTCGCGATCTTTCGAAAATTTTTTAAGAGTCCCACGACCAGAAAGTTTGAAAATCTCTGATCTACAGATTTTTCCATATATTATATATTTTTTGCTAAAATGCATGAATAAAATTAAAGATACTATTATTTATATCTTTTGTAATTTCTTTGATAATGAGTAAATAAATGTTTGTTTTAACACATACATGGGCACGAAAGTAAGAATAGGTAACAAAATGGTATTTATTAATTGTAATAATTAAATCTGAGTTTTATTATTAAAATTCCAAATATGTAGTGATATAAATACATTTCCTCACAGTTTGTCATTTAATAGCAGTATATAATATGATATAACATATTCCTTTTTATATTTACAAGGTTATGAGTGTAATCTATAATATAGTGTATGAACTTTTCAGTTACATACAAGACCTGTAAACAAAAACAATTCTTTTTACAAAGAAATATACATTGATAAATTACCATAATTAGTTCAATGGTTTTACCTAAATAATCATCCATTAATGTTCCAATAGCAAACTAGAACAAAACAAACTTTTATCAATGATTATTATACTAAGCATTTTTATTATTAATAATAAAATTTAAATTGAATACTAACAATACCAGTAGCGTCTACTCTTGTTCCAACTATTTTTAACCTTATTTCATCATCGGCTTGAATTATCACATCCTAAAAAATATTAACATATCTTTATATACTTATAGGGTTTGACAAAAAGATTTTAAATACAATTTTTTAACATTCTTATTATAGTTACAATATCATATTAATTAAGGCAAATAAGTCCTTTTAGGTTATTTTATAATTATATTAATATTTTATAAATTAAATAAAATATTAATTTAAAATAAAACATTAAAATTTAAAAATTTAGATAATAAGCAATATGGAATTACCTCTTCTTTTGATTTATAACAAGGTGGATTAACATTGGGACAAAATTGCATTTCTTCTGGAATAGACTGAAATAAAATTTTATAAATTCATGAAATAAATTGCTTATTAATGATGATATAATACATGGCTTTTGATACTTACGTGATGAGATATGAAACAAGATAATGGTCCTATTTCTGCGAACATCCCAACCTGCAAAATTTAATGTAATTTATCACTAATTATTATTAATCTATGCAAAATTAACTTTTATATAACTGTAAATATTTTAATTTTTACCTTGTTTACTTGTGTTACAATCGCATCCAAAACTTCACCTTTAAATGGTCTAAAGACAATCGCTTTATATTTAACAGGATAAACAACAAAACCTTGCCCTGGTTGAATTATACCAGCACCGATATTATCTATTGTTGTTACTGCTATAACAAAGCCATACCTAAAAGATCATTTAATAAATATCTGTTACATCAAATCAAAAAAGATTTAATCTTACTTTCCAGTGCAGGTTCCTTCTACTTCTGTGTAAAGCTTCTGTTTTACTGTATCAAGAAGTTGGGGTCCAAAATATCTCGGATGTAATAAGATTTCATGCTCCAACGATATCTACATTAATTCATAAATGTACAAAAAAAATAATTCCAATAGATGTAGAGAGAAATTTAATATTACAGAATTATAAAACAATAATTTTTTTTACTTACGTGATAGAACATTTTCTTTATATTTGAAGTAAACTGTACTATATATTTTTGCAAAATTCATGTATATGCATTCAAACATTTATTTGAAATACAATGTGAAATAAAAGAGGGAATAAAATACTATTACCCATTTTATTTCTACGAACGTCTATACGCGCTCTTTAAATATATTATTAACTGAATATTTGGCAACACTGGATGCTTCTATTATACATCATGAAATAATTAACTGTAGACCAAACCTATTAACATTTTTGGATGTTTTCAGTTTATTGTCTCTATCATAATTAAGCTACAAAAAATTGCCCTTTACAAAATATCATTTAACACTTTTTAAATAAAAATATTATATACTATGTAAATATTGAAATATTTTCGCAGCATTTAGTAAAGAATTTTTCTATCAGAGAGCGTGATTGCAAACTTCTACGTATCAATGTTATTTTTTTAATTCTATGGGAATATTGGAGAATTTACAATGAAACTATAATTTTCCTCTAGAGGGCATTGAAAATTGAAAGAAATAATAGATTAATCTTTAGGTTAACATCTTTTCAGGTCGATTAGTAGTAATTACTGTTTATGTTAAAATTTCTGATTGTGAACATATTAAGTAAAAGAAAATAATAAAGATACATATGATGAAAGAATACAGTTGGTTTTTTCTTTTTTTTTTTTTTTTTAATATGTATCTGATTGATAATAAAAATTTGATATAAGCATGACATTATCCATTCTTGATTGCACAATTATATTTATTGTAAGTTTAAACATATTTTAATGTGTTATCAAGTGGTCAGCTGTTTCCGCTTTGTTAATATATATATGTATAGACAAACCAGAACGAGTCTAGAGAGAGCCCGCCTAATCTCTCTTAATTAAATCAGTCATTATTTTCTGTGATAGATTCACAGAGGAAAATGAGAAGTTTGTTATGAATGTGAATAAACAGGATTTCATTCTTTAATTTTCTTTTGGTTTCACGGATAATGTCAAGCGAAGCGCGCGAAACAAGCTCGTTGAGAAATGCTGATAACTTGCGCTCGACTATCTCGGATTCAGGAAGTAACAACGTGGCTAAAGAATCAAGTCAAAGTTCCACGATAGAACAAAAATTGGCAAGCAAGATGTTTTCTTATGCAACGGAAATAATTTGTTTCATTCTTGCTGTCATGTTTACCGCACTAGCTGCGCTTCACAGTTCGTAAGTTTTAGGTTGTGTTGAATGTTTATAATTATTTTATAACCTTCACCGGTATTTTTTTTAGATATTAGTTTTTAAATTTATTGTTTAGCTTGCAATGTACTTTAGAAAACAAGAATTATAAAAACTATCTTTAAAGAAATTGCCTATATACAAATTACTTAAATTATAATATTTGTAATATTGTTAATTATTTTATTTACAGACCACCAAAAATATCGAAACCTCCAGCTGCAAGACCATTTTTCAATCAAAGTTCCATTGTTCTAGATTTTTACAAAGGTCATTTAAGTGCTATGATAGAAAGAGTCACAGATACAGAATTTAGTTTTGTTATGTATTATGCTCCATGGGATGCAGAAAGCCAAGTAATACGTGATGAATTTGAAAAAGTAGCTGAGTATTATTATCCACAGGTATAAAAACTTAATGAATAAATCTTATATACAGCATAAATTTTATTTTGCTTTATTATTATTGTTTTATTAAATTTTCTTTTTAGATATTTTTTACAGCCATTAATTGTTGGCATCCAAATTCAGAATGCAGAGCTCAATACAATAAAATACAAAGTTATCCAGTTCTTATACTTTATCCGGCAAGAGATTCAGGTATACAGTACAGAGGCATACGTACTGCACCATATATGATTCGATTTCTTCATGCATTTATAAATCCGATTATTAGGATAACAAATAAAGAATATGTAAAACAATTGCTTGTTACTTATGATGTAAGTGCAAGAGATTGGTAGAAACTTCTGTAATTATAAAAAAATTTGTATTTTATTGCATTCTGTTTATTCATTGCAGGCTGTAATTGTAGGTTATTTTAATTTTACTGGAGTGGCTACCAGTCCAGGGTATAAAGAATTTTATAAATCTGCTATAAGATCATTAGAAAAGGATCCTAATAGAGAAGTGGCATTTGCTGCTGTAACAAATGCATTATCTAGTCAATCCAATTATGGAGTTATAAAATCTCCTTCTGCATCTTTATTTATGTGGAATGAAACTTTGGTAAATAGAAATTTATATATTTATTTTTATATTTTCACATTAACATATTTGCCGTTATATTTTATATAAACGATTTCAAAAAACAATTTTTACATTTAGAATTATCCAGATGATAAAGAATGGACACCAGAAAATATATTAAATTGGATTACTAACTCAATTCATCAACCAACATTATGGCTTCAACCTCCTGGAATCAAAGCTCTAACTCTTGCACCTTATCTTCGAGAAGGACCTGTTTTTTTTTTGTTTACACCACGTAATCCTTTACATTATGAAAATTATAATTATAATCTGGTATGTTATAAAATTTATACTACTACACATATTATTATTTAATAATATATTACTTAAAAAAAAAAATTTATATATATATATAATCTTATAACTATTTTTTAGATTAGAGAAGTTGGATTACAGTACTATAATTGTGCAAATAATCTTTTAGTGAAAGATATTATTACGCGTCTTCAACATAAACGCTATACAGCAATGTCTCGTTACATTAAAAAAAATGAAAAGTGTACCTATCTTGTAAGTGAAAGTGAAATGAAAAAAAATGAACCTACAATCAGTGTTTCTGTTCAGCAGTGGATTAATAGTAGTTGTTGTGCAAAGATTTTTATGAATAAATGTGTTTTATGCAAAAAGGAAGTACTGAATTCAGTGGATAGGGAGCTATCTTGTACTTCTATTCACGAAAAAAATTCTTATGTTTGTAAGAAAATAGATATTTTTACAATACCATTGTTAGAAAATACTCAAACTGAACAGGAATTTTGTTGTAATCAAGAACATATTTCAATAAATTTACATGAAAATGTGAATTTGAAAAGGTATACAAAATGTTACAGAATATAAGTGAAGAGTACACTATAATATTAATGAATTATATCTATATTTCAGTTCGGAGTATAAAATATCACAGTCTGATGAAAATGATCGACAATCTCCTATCGCAATAAAACATGCTCTTTTAAAAGAAAACTGTAAAAGATCGTTTGCTGCACATAGATATCACGAGCCAGTTTTTCCTCAAGATTCTTTTGAAAAGTCTAATATAAGTTTAATAAAATCTTTATGTAACATAAATAGGACATTGTCTTTGATAGCAATTGATAGTCTACATTATTTTCATTTTGCAGAAGGTTTGGGAATTGATGTTTTGAAAAAAAAAGATAAAACTGCTGCTATCATTTTAGATGTTGCTGTAAGCTGTACTGCTAATATTTTTTTACACATATTGTTTTTTTTTCATCTTTCTTGTTTCCATATGTGCTTTTTCATTAATTAAATTATTTAAGCTGTAATATTATTATATATTTCAGCAAGAAAGTGAATATGTTATGCAAAAAGATTTTAATAAGAATGCTGTTATAGAATTTATAAATAATTATACTCAAGGTTTTTTACAACGCACATTACGATCTGACAACTCACGTTGCTTTGTACAAAAATTTAAAACCAAAATTAAATGTGATCAGAAAAATACATTGAAAATGTGTATACCAGATTTGACAAGTGAAACATTTTTAGACACTATCTTGGATGCAACTAAGGTAAATACAAGTTAAATTCAATAATTAGATAATATGAAATACTACATCATTTTTAATGATTTGTTAATAGGACGTGGTTGTATTGTATTACTCTCCTTATTGCGCATTTTGTAGTGCAATATCTTATGTTTACTTGATGGTAGCACATTATTTGTTCGCAATGGATCATCTTATATTTGTACGTATAGATGGAGATAATAACGATTTACCATGGGAATATAGTATGGATCGCTTCCCATCTATTTTGTTTTTCCCAGCTAGGAGGTAATGAGAATTTATTTAATACAAAAATTATACAATAGTTAATGTGATTGTTATGATATGAATATATTTATTTTCAGGAAAGAGGACAGTACAGTATTTCCATTTTCTTTACCTATTAACATTCCAAATTTACTTAATTATGTATTAGCAAATTTAGATGGAGATTCACGTGTTGAAGCTTTAACAAATATTTGTTTGTTAAGTGCTAGTGATCCACCAGACAAATGTATTGTTCGTATACGTTGGCTGTGTTTAGAAATTATTGAACAACTTCTACATGATTATAGAAAGTTAAGGCGACATTTAAATTTCATTGATCAAAAAACTGCTAGAAATAAGAAAAAAATTATTTTATTAAAATTAGAACATATTAGATATATACATTTAATATTGGGATCAACTATTGACCTTGCTGAAGATCAACATATAGTTCATATAATTCGAAAAAGATTTAGAGAATATTATAGAATTCTTAGATTATTAGAATTAGATAGTAAAATTATTTCCAATAAAACAAGAATTATGCGAATTGTACAAAAAGTTAATACTCCTAAAGGAAAAATACTGAAAAACGAATTGTGATATCTACTTGATAGTAGTTCTACTATATTGGTATTTATGTGCCATACTTTCCCCCGAGTTTTGCTTTTAAGAATTCAAATTTTATTTACAATAGATAATTATTAGTAAATTTTATTTTAATTTATTGAAAATTCTTTAAAAAAATGTACGTTTATAAAGGAAATCATTTTTGATTTTTTATATATTTATATAATTTTGTTTTATATAATTTTGTTTAATGTTCAAACAATACTGCTTAAATTTTAATTTAAATTACTAAATTAATGGGACATATGTATATCAAAGCAAATCACTCATGTTTAACATCTTTTCAATCAACTCGATTGAAAATGTAAACAAATCTGAATAGGAAAAATGAGAATTGTGCCGCAAAATTTGCTTATTCAAAAAGGAGAAAAGAATCTTATTTCTTAAACTATATTTTTATCGAAATTATCAACTAATAGCGGACTTATATATATAACTATATTGATTGCATTGATGTTTATGATAAATATTTAAAATGTCTTTTTTTATACAGCACTTTTTCATGGACTTTTATATTATCTGATTTTATAAAAATTATAGAAAATTTTTATCTAAAAGTTTAAAATTTACATTGGGAAATTATATAAACACTTTTGTTGAAAAATTATCTTTGAGAATCCTGTCATATATCTGTTATATATCATTAGTATATTATTTAACTCTTATTTGAAGTTATTTATGAACAACAAATGCGAGACAAGGAAAGGAGCATATAATTTACTTTCAT